GTCATTGTTAGCAGAAATGAGTTTCCTTCCCATAGCTTAGTCCACTCCTTCCCTTCTCCACAGCTTAGCATGCTCCCTTCCTAGGCAACACTAGGCTCCTGTAGTAAAGGCAGTAAATAATCAACCTCCAAACCCCTTTACCTTGGGATGGCGCTTCTCTGGGGCAGCTACCACCATAGAAGGCAACAAGAGCCCCTTAGAGTGACCTTCAGGTCTGGGCAGCTGCAGAACCCTTATCTACTATTTGGACAGCAGCCATAAATCCTAGTCCACCATGATGAAGCTCCTGGCCCACACGTCCACACCAGGGTCTCCGCCTCCTAGCCCCTCCCAAACTTCCTAGGTTATACAGGTCACCCCAGACAATAACCGGAGCTTCTTCTCACTTCTCCCTTGTGAGGGGTCTTGCCGGCCCCCTTTCCTGGCAATAAACCTTTCTTTGTTCTCTGTACCTGGATGTCTGCGTGGTTCTCTGGCAAAGTCTAATAATCTTTCAGTCATGGACATTATAGGAAGCATCAGGACAAGGAAGCTGCCATGATAGAACTGCCATGCTTCCTCCAGTGGCAAGAATCCATCTCTGCTCTGCCACAATGGTGCTAGGATACAAGGTCTGCACCATCTTGTTTCCCCTTGGGAAAGCTGTGATTAACCTATAGGTACAGGTTTACCCTAGAGGACTCTAGATTAAAATATTTGCTTATAGGTGCTATTTCTTTTTTTTTAATTAATAAGTTTTTTTATTGTGAAAATACCATATGAGGGGTTACAATTACATGAGCAAAGTAATAAGTACATTTCTTATCAAGCATTGTTGCCTCCTCCTTTGTTTCCCTTTACCATCCCTGCCCTCCCATCTCCCCCTCCCCTCCCCCAGGTGTTATTTCTGTGGTATTTATTTGTTCATTGATTTATTGTGCAGGTTCTGGGGCTTGTTGAACTCAAGGCTGACTGCTGTTGGGGAGCCTTTTTGTTCAAGGCTAGTGCTTTACCACTTGAGCCACACCTCTATATGAAGATAAGAGTCTTAGGACTTTCCTGCTTGGGCTGGCTTCAAACCCCGGTCCTCAAATCTCAGACTCCTGAGTAGCTAGAATTACCAGTGTGAGCCACTGGAGCTAGCTAAAGTGTTACTTTGATAGACATTAGTCTATCAGGCACAGGGCATGGTTCATAAATTATTACTATAAAGTTGACATATAAAAACTGTTCTCTTGGGCTGGGAAGGTGGCTCAGTGGTAGAGTTCTTGACTTGCATGCATGAGGCTTTGGGTTGATTCTTTAGCACCACATAAGCAGAAAAAACTGGAAGTAGCGCTGTGGCTCAAGTGCTAGAGCACTAGCCTTGAGCTGGAGTTGAGGGACAGCGCCCAGGCCCAGAGTTCAGGCCTTATGACTGACCAAAAAAAAAAAGAGTCTCATGGACATTCCTGCCTGGGCTGGCTTTGAACCTCGATCCTCAGATCTCAGCCAGGTGTGAACCACTGTGATGGGGAAAAGAAAAGAGCCCACCACTCAGAGAAAGCCTCAAGTAAAAAGATGACTTTACTGGGGAAGTGGATGGCTGACTGGCCAGGGATGCAGCACAGACTTGGGAGCTGAAATTGCGTCCCGGAGCAGCCCACAAGCTGGGGTTTTTAAAGGCAAAATCTACGTGATCAAGCCTGGCCACACGCAGGTGACCAATGGGATTGTAATACACACATAAAGATTGCATATTTATGTCAGTGGCCAATGGAGTTACAGTCCATCTCATAGTAACTGTTTCAACTAACCTATCATTTTGGTTTGAATTGGTGTGTGAACTTGGGGTCCCCACACAAAGCAGGTGGATATTCTTACTCGTGGGGCTATACATTCCAGAAACAAAATGTCATATGCCCCTGCACCCTTGAAACTGGGGTTGTTACAAAGACAGCTACAGGAGATTTATTACAAAGACAGCTACAGAAGGATACACAATGTGCACACTGAGGCATCTACTCCCTTGAAGCAGGAGGCAACCCATCACAGGGTGGGATGGATGCGCAACGTCACAGGGCAGGCACCATTCTAATTGGGCAGGGTATGAGATAGGGCCAAAGTCCATGTAAAATACCTTTTAAGGTCTCCCTTGGGGGGAGGAAAGGGGGGAACGAGAAGGATTGGGATTGGGGGGGAGGGGGGAGGGTGGGAAGGGAGGTGAAGGGTAAACAAAGGAGGAGGCTGCAATGCTTGGTAAGAAATGTACGCATTATCCTGCCCATGTAATTGTAACCCCTCTGTACAGTATGTTCACAAATAAAATAAAATAAAATTAAAAAAAAAAAAAAAGGTCTCCCTTTATGGCTTCTCTTTGTTTTTAGTAAAGAGTCAATTTCTCGGCTTAGTTTTTCTCACACACTCTGGGACCTTAACAGTCTAGGAGACCCTTCCCCTCTACACCACCGGCACCCAGCTGCTTCTCCTTCTCTTGTAATTAACACTTCAGAAAAACAGGCAGGGCCAGCTTTGGGTTATATGGAACAGTAGCTGTTAGACTCATAGGTGTAGGAGCCGCTAGTGCCTGGCTTGAATTACTCCATTTCCAGAAAACAGTTCTTTTTTTTTTTTTTGGTCGGTAGTGGGGCCTGAACTCTGGGCCTGGGTGCTGTCCCTCAGCTCTTCAGCTCAAGGCTAGCGCTCATACTACTTGAGCAACGCCACTTCCAGCTTTTTCTGCTTATGTGGTGCTGAGGAATGGAACCCAGGGCCTCAAGCATGTAAGGCAAGCGCTCTACCACTGAGCCACCTTCCCAGCCCCATCTGTGAGACTCTTATCTCCCATTAAACACCAGAAAACTGGAGTGGCGCTGTGGCTCAAGTGGTAGAGCACTTAGCCTTGAGCTGAAGAGCTCAGGGACAGCACCCAGGCCCAGAGTTCAGGCCCCACAACCGAAAAAAGAGGGAGAGGGGAGAGAGAGGAGAGAGAGAGAGAGGAGAGAGGAGAGAAGAGGAGAGAGAAAAGAGGAGAGAGGAGAGAGAGAGAGAGAGAGAGAGAGAGAGAGAGAGAGGAGAGGAGAGTGTGGCATATAGAAGAGTTTCCTTCCAGTGATTCTGGGCAAGTCAAACAGAGGTGCACTGTGCACTGAGAAATTTTTAGTTCCTTTATTGAAGCCAGGTGGTTGGAGAGCTGGTTATCATGCCAATAACAAAGGGACTCTCCAGACCAGGGGAAATTAAGTGGGGGTGGGGGGCTGGGAGGTAAAGGGGTGTTAAAGGCAGAAATTGCAAATTTTAAGTATGATCAGGTACTAATCAGATAAAGAGACAACTGGGCTACAAGGAGATGACGGCACAATTTCTTTCAAGGAAAGTGACAGTTTGGGGCATCATGCCCTGGGTAGGCTTTAAAGGTTATAGTTTAACAGTTTATACCAGGTGTGTATTTACTCTTTATCTCCAGATTTTCCTTTATCATGAAACTCTGCATGGCCCTTTACTACAAAACGGGTCAGTGGGAAGTTAGGTATTTCAATGTGATTATCAGCTTATTCTCAAGTTCTTGAATGAGCTGCATCATACATATTAATTTCCAAACTATCAGTTTGATTTTGGTAAAATAAAGAGGATATTTGTCATTAAAAGTCATGATTGAAGCTGGGTGCCGGTGGCTCACGCCTGTAATCCTAGCTACTCTACTCAGGAGGCTGAGATCTGAGGATCACGGTTCAAAGCCAGCCCAGGCAGGAAAGTCTGTGAGACTCTTCTCTCCAATAAAAACCACTAGAAAACCAGAAGTGGCATTGTAGCTCAAGCGGTAGAGCGCTCACCTTGAGCTGAAGAGCTGAGGGACAGTGCCCAGGCCCCGAGTTCAAGCCCCACGACCGACAAAGAAAAAAAAAAAGTTATGATTGATGCTGAGAATTTTGCACATTTATTGGTCATCTGTACTTATTTTATTTGAGTCATCTGTTGGTTTCCTTGGCCATTTTCCTGTTAGGTTGTTCTTGATCTTTATAACATCAGTCTGCAAGCTTGACAGAGATAATGACTGTATCTCATTTCTTTTCTATCTCCAGCCTAGCAAAGTGTCTGGTGAAGAACTTGCCTCTGCCCCCTTGGCCTATTCTATGTATCCAAAGATAGAACATGAAGGATTGACCTCCACCCTGTTGTGCCAGGTGCATACAGATGTCAGGCAACTCACCAAAGATATGAGCAGACTGCCTAGACCCCTTGAAACCCCATTCTTGAGGCCTCCCCCCTCCTCTGGTTTGGTGGCTTTTTTTTTTTTTTTGCCAGTCCTGGGACTTGAACTCAGGGCCTGAGCACTGTCACTAAGCTTTTTTCTCAAGGCAAGTACTCTACCACTTGAACCACAGCGCCACTGGGAGCTTTTTGTTTATGTGGTACTGAGGAATTGAGCCCAGGGCTTCATCCATGCTAGGCAAGCACTTACCACTAAGCCACATTCCCAGCCCAGTGAACCCAGCTCTTTACACAACCTTCATACCGGCAGGAAGTCCTAGCTTGTTGAAATCAAGTCGGGGCTGTACCTTCTTTCCCCTCCACTTTCCTAACATGTGGTATTTATTTCACGCTTGTAAAAATCGAACTGAACGATCTTAGGTCATCCTCAGAACGCTTTGTAGACTATAATACTATTACTACAGTACTGGGGACCTAACCCAGGGCTCCAACCATGGTAGCAAGGGCTCTACCACTGGTACCTCCAGACTCTGAAATGACTTGTTTTACTGATCAGTGTAAGACGACAGGTTAAGTAATTTGCAGCCACACATTTGCTAAATAATCGAAAGGGGAATGTAAGGTAGCCCTTCTTATTTTATGCTATACACATGCTGAAAACTATCCTTTTCCCATCTAGGAACGTTTCTCTTGTCTTCCTCAGGATGTCAACTGAGCATTTTAAATGAATTTAGTAACTTTTGCTCTGCGCATGCACCCATTCTTTCCTCCTGGGTCACAAAAGAGACGCTATCTCGGAGCCCTTTGCTTTGCATCTCTTTTGGCCCTAGCGATGCGCCGTCGTCGGTGCGGAGGCATTTGGTAGGTGAGACGATGGCGACTGGAGCGCAGGATTCGCAAGCCCGCTTTGGTCAGTCAGTGAAGGGGCTTCTCACGGAGAAGGTGAATACCTGTGGTACGGACGTGATCGCGCTCACCAAGCAGGTGCTGAAGGGTTCCCGGAGCTCTGAGGTGAGCGGGAAGTGGCCTCGCTCGGCCTAGTCTTTGCGGTCTTTCGGCGGTGGGAACGGGGCGCGTTGCATTCTGGGGAGTGTAGGCCTGGAGCGGTGCTTCGCGCGTGGTGCGTTCTGGGGAATGTAGTCTTTGGTTAGGATTGGTGATAGGGTGGGAATCGGACTTCTAAACAATTATTTGTTTTGGGGGTGTTATTTCTAGTGATTTTTTTGGGGGGTGCTTATATCAGGTTTATGAGGGAGGCATCTCCAGACACTACAGCGGTTCTACCCCTGCATCATTCACTCCCTGCACCCTTCCCCCTAAGAATTCACATCCCCAACAGGTTTCCTTGTTTTTTGTGACAGGGCCCCGGCACTGTCCCTGAGCTTTTTGTGCTCAAGGCTTATTGCTCTACCAATTTGAGCCCCAGCTCCACTTCTGTATGGAGGTGGTTGAGATAAGGTTTTTCCTGCCCGGGCTGATTTTGTTTGTATTTTTATTTATCATTATTTTTATTTATTTTTTCTCTGGCTGCCCCTCAGCTCTTCAGCTCAAGGCTAGTGCTCTACCACTTGAGCCACTGTGCCACTTCCGGTTTTCTGGTGGTTAACTGGACATAAAGGACTTTCCTGCACGGGCTGACTTTGAACTGCGACCTTCAGATCTCAGCCTCCTGAGTAGCTACGATTATAGGCGTGAGCTACTAACGCCTGACAATTTTTTTTTTTTTTTAAATCAGTCGTAGGGCTTGAACTCAGGGCCTGGGTACTGTCCTTGAGCTTTTTTTTTTTTTTGGGTCCGGTCGTGGGGCCTGAACTCTGGGCCTGGGCACTGTCCCTCAGCTCTTCAGCTCAAGGCTAGCACTCTACCACTTGAGCCACAGCGCCACTTCCGGCTTTTTTTTCTTTTTGCTTATGTGGTGCTGAGGAATCGAACCCAGGGCCTCATGCATGCAAAGCAAGCACTCCACCATTGAGCCACCCTCCCAGCCCCTCCTTGAGCTCTTTTTGCTCAAGGTTAGTGCTCTACCATTTTGAGCCACATCTCCACTATTGTTTTGTGTGTGTGGGGGGGTGTTTTTTTGTTTGTAGGTTGTGGGGCCTGAACTCTGGACCTGGGCGCTGTCTCTCAGGTTGTGGGGCCTGAACTCTGGGCCTGGGCACTGTCTCTCAGCTCTTCAGCTCAAAGCTAGAGCTCTACCACTTGAGCCACAGCGCCCCTTCTGGCTTTTTCTGTTTATGTGGTGCTAAGGAATAGAACCCTGGGCCTCATGCATACAAGGCAAACACTCTACCCCTAAGTCATCTTCCCAGCCCCTCCACTACTGGTTTTATGGTGGTTAATTGCCTCACAGACTTTCCTGTTCTGCTTTGGAACCACAATCCTCAGATCTCAGCCTCCTGAGCAACTAAGAGTACAGTTGTGAGCCATCAGCTGCTAACTGTATCTACTGTTTTAAAAAGAAGCTCAGGAGCACAGAAAGAGAGGGAGAAAGGGTTAACAAATGCAACCATGCTATTCAGTATAGACTATGTAGAAAATGACCTTTGTAACTTGTGGGTTGGGATGGAAGAGGGAAACTAGGGGGGAAACAAAAGAAATATACTTGCCTGGCACTGGTGGCTCATGGCTGTAATCCTAGCCACTAGGTTCCTGAGATCTGAGGATCGAGGTTCAGAATCAGTGCAAGTAGGAAAGTCTGTAAGACTTATCTCCAACTAACTACCAGAAAACTGGAAGTGGCACTGTGGCTCAAAGGGGTAGAGTGCTCACCTGGAGCTAAAGAGCTGAGGGATAGCGACAGGGACAGAGTTCAAGACCCACTACTGACAAAATAAATAACTATATAAAAAATGTACTCATGGGCTGGGGCTTAGTGGTAGAGTGTTTGCCTTGCATGCATGAGGTCCTGGGTTCGATTCCTCAGCACCACATAAGCAGAAAAAAAGCTGTAAGTGGTGTGGCTCAATTGGTAGGGCGCTAGCCTTAAGCAGAAGAGCTGAGGGACAGCGCCCAGTCTGAGAGTTCAGGCCCCATGACTGTCAAAAAAATAAACAAAATAAAAATTAAAAATTATATAAATAAAAATGTACTCATTACCTAACTTATAGAATGGTAACACTCCTGTAAAATCCCTTAATAATAACAACAAAATTATATTAAAAATTAAAAAGAAAAAATAATAAAGGACTCATAATTAGGCCAGCAAAATAAATAAGTAAAGCAAGGGCAAGACAAACCAAAAATGAGTAAAAATCACTACGTATGAGTGATAGAGAACCGGGAGAAGAAGGGGCAAGGTGGAGGGCCTTTTTATTTTTGGCCACTCAGTCCTGGGGCTTGAACTCTGGGCCTGGGCACTGCCCCTAAGCCTCTTTTGCTCAAGGTTAGCACTCTACTACTTGAGCCACAGAGCTACTTCTGGCTTTTTCTGTGTATGAGTTATTGAGGTATCGAACCCAGGGCTTAATGCATGCTAGGCAAGTATTCTACCATTAAACCATGTTCTCAGCCCATGGAGGGTCTCTAGAAGTACAGGGGCTGGAAAGGTGGCTTAGTGGTAGAGTGATTACCTAGCACGGCATGAAGCCCTGGGTTTGATTCCTCAGTACCACATAAACAGAAAAAGCTGGAAATAGTACTATGACTTATGCGGTAGAGTGCTAGCCTTCAGGAAAAGAAGCTCAGACACAGTACCCAGGCCCCGAGTTCAAGCCCTAGGACTGGCAAAAAATAAAAAGAAGTACATAAAGTTTTACTAAATTTAAAACTTTAATGGGAAAATAGCTGCCTGGGGGAAGGAACCTTGGAAAGTCCATGATACTGATGTTCCTGGTTAACTCTTGAAGTTGTTCCTTTTCATGGAATCTTCTAGCTCAGGGGAACAGGGAGAGATTGGTAGCACGCACGTCTCATGCTTGATAAGGCTAGATTTAAGGTAAATCTTGGATTGGTCACTTGCACGTCACATCCTTGATAAGGCTATATTTAAGGTAAGTCTGGAGCAGGGTGCAGCCAGAGGCCAGGAACTTCACCTAATCTCAGCTTGCCTTGCCTTGACCTCAGGCCACCTTGTTGACTTCAACATCTGCTTTTTTCTCTGTTGGAATTCGTGGAAATCTCCTTTTCTCTTCCCTATCCCCATTTGGCTATCTTCATCTTTCTATGCCTTTTTCCTTCTATTGTTTTTTTTCTTTCCCTCCCTCCCTCTCTTCCTTTTCTCTCTCCTTTCTCTTTTCTTTGTTTCTTTCTCTCCCCACCACTGCCTCTGTGATGCTGGGATGGAACCCAGGTTGGTTTTTTTTTTTGGGGGGGGGGGTGTCCAGTCCTGGGGCCTGAACTCTGGGCCTGGGCACTGTCCCTGAACTCTTCAGTTCAAGGAGAGCACCCTACCACTTGAGCCACAGTACCACTTCCAGTTTTCTGGTGGTTAATTGGAAATAAGAGTCTCACAGACTTTCCTGCCTGGGCTGGCTTTGAACCACAATTCTCAAATCTCAGCCTCCTGAGTAGCTAGGATTACAGGTATGAGCCACTGACACCTGGCTCATTTTATTTCTAAATAGCTATTTTCCCTCTGTACTTTCCAGTCCACTGCCAACTTCTGTGCTCTCACTTCCCTTGAACCGTCTCCAATCTGCCTTTGAAGAATCAGAAGTGAGGAATCATGACTCCTCTCAGTACTGGATGAGGAAATCATGCCCAGGCTGCAGCAGTTAGGAGCACTTGATTACTCAGGTCATGGACCCAAGTAGGCCCATGCCAAAACTGCCATAGTGCCAGTGACATTCTTTACCTGAACTAATGAAGAATCAGCCTCCATTATATTTGAGTGTGTGTAAGGTTGTCTGGAGCAGGGAGGGTAGTGATAGAATGGCTGCAGAGACAAGATTGCAGTTCGGGAATCATGATCTTCACCATCTGATTTTTGTCTTTCAGCTGCTAGGTCAGGCAGCCCGAAACATGGTGCTACAGGAAGATGCCATCCTGCACTCAGAAGATGTGAGAAACTATTTTTATTTTAAAAGATTTGGGGGTTATAACCATACTTTGTATGGCTACAGGGGAGTGGAATGTTGTGTTTCTGTCTTGTGCAGAGTTTAAGGAAGATGGCAATTATAACCACACATCTTCAGTACCAGTGAGTATGCCCTCTCCAGCAATGGGCTTGTCGCAAAGTCATTGTCCCCAGCCCTTGTGCATTACTTTCATGCTTCCCACATTTTCCATAGGGGTCCTTGGGAGACAGGGGTGGGAGCAAAGGTAGACCTGGAGATGTATGCCTCCTACCCCAGAAGTTGGGGTTGCAGATCAGATCAGAGGCAGGGTCCATCTTTTGTGACCCTCTCTGTGTTAGTCTGAAAGCCCTTGCCCTGCTATCTTGTGATTGGCATCTGGAGGTTCTTACTTAGTACTTGCCAGCTGTCTGGGCCTTAGTGGTGATGGTAACCCATTTTTACATTTTTCTGTGTAGCATAGCACTAGCCACATGTAAGCCATCAGGAGATTTGGAACTATAGAGATAGCTTTGTTAAAATTGTGAATTCAATTTTTAATTTTTTTTCATCTAATTTTGAAAAAAATGTTAATTTGCTTTTGTTTTATTTTAAAATATTTTATGTAGTTAAGGTTATATACTTATAATTTATTTTATAGTGTAAGTGTATGATTGGGAATTTAAGTCTTGATTGATTTTTTTTTTTTATTTTTTTGTCCAGTCCTGGGGCTTGAACTCAAGGCCTGGGCACTGTCCCTGAGCTCCTTTTGCTCAAGGCTAGCATTCTACCACTTGAGCCACAGCACCACTTCCAGCCTTTTCTGTTTTTGTGGTACTGAGGAATCGAACCCAGGGCTTCATGCATGCTAGGCAAGTATGCTATCACTAAGCCACATTCCCCTGTGCTCACACTAAATTGAAGCCTTGCATGGAGTTTATTGCCTCTGCAAGTTCAGAAGCCATCTTTTTAGCAGCTCTGCACTCAGCTAGACTCAATAGCGCAATCCTAGGACAGAAATGTAGAATGTGACAAGCCAGAAATAACGTCTGCTAGTTCACTGGGTTTCTTTTTTTTTTTTCAAGTAAGGGGAAGGTTTATTCATCATTCCGGCTGGCACCAGGCCATCTTGGCCCTCCACACGGTGGGGAAAGGCCTGGGAAAGAGAGCTGGGAGAGCTGGGAAAGAGAGAGAAAAGAGCTAGGAAAGAGTGGAGAGAGTGGAGAGAGAGCCGAGAGCACTGGGTTTCTTATGTATGTTTTTCTCTTTCCTTTTTGGACTTAGGCAAGAAGCTATTCAGAAGAAGTAAGTAATCCCCAAAGGTAGGGTTGTGGGACTCAACTGAAGCAGCCTGAGGGAAATTGCACTGCTGCACCAGGATCAGTGCAGAACTCCTATCAACCCACACCATTTTACATTATCATCTCATAGGATTTAAAGAACATATTGTATTTCAAAGGCATACAGTAAGCTGATTCGCTGCCAGTAAGGTTTCTAAGTGTTACAGGATGAACAGGCCAACCTTAAGGAATAGAAAACCTTATACATCCCTTATATTTTTTAAATAGAGTAAAAGTGCTAGAAGTCATAAATCCACTTTTGTTTTTGGTGGGTTGTAGTTCTTGAACTCTGGGCCTGGGCCCTGTCCCTGAGCTCTTCAGCTCAAGACTAGTGCTACCACTTGAGTCACAGCACCACTTCTATTTTTCTGGTATTTAATTAGAGATGAGTCTCATAGACCTTCCTGCCCAAGCTGGCTTTGAACCCCGATCAGATCTCAGCCTCCTGAGTAGCTAGGATTACAGGTGTGAGCCACCAGCACCTGGCATAAATCCACTTTTTCCTGTTTTCTTTTTTGGTCGGTTGTGGGGTATAAATCCACTTTTTAAGTGATGGATTACACTTTTCCCTTGCTGTATTACTTACATTACCAATTAGCTTTGAAAAACCTTTGTTTGTAGTAAAGGCTTTTTTCCTCTACTTTAAGATGAGGTCTTACTGTGTTGCCCAGGCTGGCCTCAAGTGATGCTCCTACCTTAGAGCTTGCCAAGTAGCTGGGACTACAGGCATGTGCTGTTATCCCCAATTCTTAGTTTAAATACTTCTAGATACAAAATGGGCCTGATAGAAATCATTATTTATCTGTGACTATATTTATGCATTAATGGATAAATAGATTGTACAAAGAAATGTTTGTTGCTCATTTCAGAGAAACACTTTCTCTATTCTGATTTCTAGTGTTGGACAGTCATCAGATCTACAGGACCAGCTAAATCACCTGCTGAAATAGAATGGCATATAAGAGGGTAATAGCACTTTGCCTGGTGCTGAAGAGAGAATATCTTATATACTATAGGCTTTGGGTTTGAGTTTCCATTTTCATCTCCAAAAGTTAAGTAAGAAAAAAAATTGTACAGTTTTTTCCTGAAAAGAAGCTAGGTGGGTAAATTTTGAAAGCACTTCTTAAAATGAAGTAACTATGTTCTTATTGAGATTTTTGTTTTAGTTCATTTTGATAAATATTATTTTATATAACCAAATGCCCACAGGCATTGCACTTTTGTGTTCCTCCCCTAAAAATATCCTCCTTTGATCTCACTGTATGTGAATGCCTACAGTCCTGTATAATTTATCTTGTCCCAGTGTACTTTAGATCTAGTGTCTGCATGTGAGAGAAAACAAGCAGAATGGCCAGGTGCTGGTGGCTCCTGCCTATAATCCTAGCTACTCAGGAGGCTGAGATCTGAGGATCATAGTTCATAGCCAGCCCAGAAAACCAGAAGTGGTGCCATAGCTCAAGTGGTAGAGCTCTCACCTTGAGCTGAAAAGCTCAGGACAGCACCAGGTCCAGAGTTCAAGCCCCATGACTGACAAAACACACACACACACACATACACACACACACATATGCACACACACACACACACATACACACACACAGCTGGGCACTGATGGGTAATACCTGTTGCTTCTTTTCTTCATTATAGCAAATTTCTACTTGAAAATCAGGCAAAAAGTATGATATCTGGCCAGCTGCAGCTTCTTGCCTTGACCTGCATTCCTAGGGTTCCTTTCTTGTTGTGACTTTTGATTAGGTGACCTTTTTTCATTTTGTAATTTTGCTTAATTATCAGCAGGTTTACTTATGATATTACTAAATGTGAAGGGAGTTGAATTCCAATGAATGCCTATATTGGAGGATTGTACCATGATGAAGACTTTAATGTATGGACATGTTTACCTGTGTTTATCAGGTTCCTCTTGTTAAATAACATTGTCATTATCAGACAAGAACTTGTGCTGTTTTTCCTTATGGGGCTAGAAGTGGAACCCAGCCCCTCGTGCAAAATAGGCAAATATTGTACCAGTGAGTTATGTCCCCAGTTCTTGACATTTCCATTATCCAACCTGAATCTCTACTTTGAACTTAAAATAGAACTTTAAATAGTTCTTCATTTACTAAGAAATTGAGAAAAAGTTTATGTTTAAGCAGAGCGTAGTGGCTCACCCCTGTAATCCTAGCTACTCAGGAGGCTGAGGTCTGAGGATCACGGTTCAAAGCCAGTCCCGGCAGGAAAGTCCATGAGACTCTTAGCTCCGAAACTACCAGAAAACCAGAAGTGGCGCTGTGGCTCAAGTGGTAGAGGAGTGCTAGCCTTGAGCTGAAGCACTCAGGGACTATGCCCAGGCTGAGTTCAAGCCCTATGACTGACAAAGAAAAAAAAAAGGTTTATGTTTTTAAAAAAGTATGAAAGCCAGGCTCTGGTGGCTCACGCCTGTAATCCTAGCTACCCAGGAGGCTAAGATCTGAGGATTGCAGTTCAAAGCCAGCCCGGGCATGAAAGTCCGTGAGACTCTTACCTCCAATAAACCACTAGACAACTGGAAGTAGCGCTGTGGCTCAATTGGTACAGTGCTCTCCTTGAACTGAAGAGCCCAGGGATAGTGCCCAAGCCCAGAGTTTAAGCCCCATGACCAACCAAAAGAAAATAAATAAATAAAAGTTTGAGCTTGGAATGTGGCTTAGTGGTAGAGTGCTTGCATAGCGTGCACAAAGCCCTGGGTTCAATTCCTCAGTACCACATAAGCAGAAAAAGCTGGAAGTGGGGCTGTGGCTCAAGTGGTAGAGTGCTAGCCTTGAGCTCAGAGGCGCTCAGGGACAGAGCTCAGGCCTTGAGTTCAAGCCCCAGGACTGAAAGAAAAAACCCAGGTATATTGGCTGTTTAAAAAAAGAAAAAAAGGGGCTGGAAAGTTGGCTCAGTGGTAGAGTGCTTGCCTTGCATGCATGAGGCCCTGGGTTTGATTCCTCAGCACCACATAAGCAGAAAAAAGCTGGAAGTGGTGCTGTGGCTCAAGTGGTAGGGTGCTAGCCTTGAGCTGAAGAGCTGAGGGACAGTGCCCAGGCCGAGTTCAGGCCCCATGACCAACAAAAAAAAAAGAAAAGAAAAAAAGAACTGGGTGCTGGTGGCTCATGCTTATAATCCTAGCTACTCAGGAGGCTGAGATCTGAGGATCGGGGTTCAAAGCCAGCCCCAGCAGGAAAGTCTGTGAGACTCTTATCTCCAATAAACCACTACAAAACTGGAAGTGGTGCGGTGGCTCAAGCGTTAGAGTGCTAGCCTTCAGCTGAAGAGCGCAGGGACAGCACTGAGGCCCAGAATTCAAGCCCCATGACCAACCAGAAGAAAAAAAAAAGAAAATAAGTCAGTTCAGTTTAATTCATATTTTGTAACATCAAGTTAAACATATCAGATTATAATCTCATATACAAATTAACATAAAGTAAAAACTTAGTTATGAGGGATCTGAAAAGGCATTTACTTATGTATTATAAACTTTATAAACTATGTATTATAAACTTTATCATTGTAATGTTATTAAATGGACAATTTACCTTTATGAAAAGGCCACCAATTTAGAAAACAACTCAGTGTAATTATTATAAGAAACAAATAAGATGCAAAAAAATCAAAACAGAGGTGTGGTCTAATTTTCTTCATCCTTGAACAAATGTTAAAGAAGTGATGATCATGGGCTGGGAAGGTGACTCAGTGGTAGAGTGCTTGCCTTGCATGCATGAGGCCCTGCGTTCCATTCCTCACATAAGGAGAAAAAGCCAGAAGTGGCGCTGTGGCTCAAGCTGTAGGGCCTTGAGCTGAAGAGCTGAAGGAGAGCTCCCAGGCCCTGAGTAGAGGCCCCATGACCGACAAAAAAAAAAAAAAGAAGTGATGATCACTTACATTATGTTTAAGAAAAAATTCTACAATGAAAAATTTAATGCTAAAAATAAAACATTAAATAATGGAAACCTAACAGTACTGAACTTAGTTACTTTAAAAAACATCGTGCTGCCAGGCTCCGGTGGCTTACACCTGTAATGCTAGCTACTCAGGAGGCTGAGATCCGAAGATCGCAGTTCAAAGCCAGCCCAGGCAGGAATGTCTATGAGACTCTTCTCTCCAATTAACCACCAGAAAACCGGAAGTGGCACTATCCTGCAAGTGGTAGAAGAGCTGAGGGACAGTGCCCTGGCCCAGAGTTCAGGTCCTATGACCAACAAAAAACAAAACAAAATGCCAAAATACATGAAAAAAAGAAGTATCCAGAAACATAAGAACAGGAAGAAATGTATAAATAATTTGATTATATATTTAATATGGTCAGACAATTTTATTTTATTTTTTGTCGGTCATGGGGCTTGAACTCTGGACCTGGGCACTGTCCCTCAGCTCTTCAGCTCTACACCTTGAGCCACAGTGCCACTTCCAGCTTTTTCTGCTTATGTGGTGCTGTGGAATAGAACCCTGGGTCTCATGCAAGGCAAGCACTCTACCATTGAGTCGCCTTCCCAGCCCAAGGAAAAAATTTTAAGCATGGTGGCTTATGCCTGTAATCTTGGCTACTTGGGAGATTCACAGTTGAAGGTCAGCCCAGGCAAAAAAGTTTATGAGACCCAGTAGAAAGCTGAGCATGATGACATGCTCTTGTCATCCCAGCTGCATGGAAATTATAAATAGGAGGATAACAATCCAAGATGGCTTGGGGCATGAACCTGGGATTGTTTGAAAAATAACAAAAACAGCTACACCTATTATTTTTAGTCTTTAACATAATAAAAAAACTTAAAAAAAAAAGGAAGACTGGAGAGTAATTGAATCCAGTGTCTTACCCCTACTGCTGCATCCTGGGAAGTAGCTGTCCAGCTGGTCATTTGTCTTCCTTAATGCTTCCAATGTTCAGAAACTACTTTTCTTAGTATCACTAGCTGTTTGTGAAAGGATGGTTCAGTGGTGTTGAGCTAGAAGCTACCTTTCTGGACCATCCTGGAATATACATATCCGGTCTGTACTTGAAAATCTGAGATTTCCTATATACGTGTTTATTTTATGTAAACAACTAGCTTTTGCTTATATTTTAAATATAGTTGAAATTAGAGTTCTGATTTGGTCTGTGTCATATACATAGTTAGCCAAGATGGTGGTAAAATTAAAAACAGTAAAGGGCTAGGGATGTAATTTAATGGTGGAGTGATTGCTTTGTCTACATGAGACCCAAGGTTCAATCCCCAATACCACAAAACAAACAAAAAGCCCCAAACCAAAGCAAAGTGAATCTGTGGTTGAGGCACTGACTAGGCCGAATGATAGTCACAGTCTGGTCCACAAGTTGGCCCTCTACCCCAGATACCATGAGGAAAAAGTGGAAATAACTCATTTAAGTTAGTAGTGGTTTGCTTTATTGCCATTTATCTCTGTGTGGCTAAGTGGACTTAGGGTTTATCAAATGATTCTTATGAATAAACCACAGACTGAAGATAATATAATAAAGCAAGTGCAGGGAAAACAATAATACTCTTTCCTAATCTGCTAATCTGCCCTGCCAAAGAGAAGCTGTCATTTTAACAAGGAGTGCAAAAGGGACTCATTTATGGAGAAAATATCTTGAAAATGAACAGGGGATGTTTTTGCCATTGTATAATTGATAAAATTTGAAGTGGTACCTCATTGGGCATACCTTGAAAGGGTGTGCTCATTTTCACACAGTAATTGGAAGTGTCTCATTCATTAAATAATGTGACTTAGTGGTAGACAGCTTGCCTAGCATGCATGAAGCCCTGGGTTCCATTCCTCAGTACCAAATAAATAGAAAAAGCCAGAAGTGGCACTGTCTGAAGTGGTAGAGTACCAGCCTTGAGCCAAAGAAGCTCAGGGCCAGATGCAGGTGGCTCACGCCTATAATCCCAGCTACTCCGGAGGCTGAGATCTGAGGATCATGGGTCAAAGCCAGCTCGAGCAGAGAGACTCTTATCTCCAATTAACCATCAGAAAACCAGAAGTGGCACTGAGGCTTAAGTGGTAGAGCATTCATTCACCTTGACTTGAATAGCTCAGGAACAGCATCCAGGTCCAGAGTTCAAGCCCCATGACCAACAAAACAAAAAGCTCAGGGACAGTGCCCAGTCCCTAAATTTAAGCCCCAGGACTGGCAACCTCCAGCAAGGATTGTTTCTATAGGTTTGACTTGTTAAAAACATAAAAAATAGCCTGGCGTTGGTGGCTCATGCCTGTAATCCTAGATACTCAGGAGGCTGAGATCTGAGGATTGTAGTTCAAAGCCAGCTTGGGCATGAAAGCCCATGAGACTCTTTTATCTCCAATAAACCAAGGGAAAACCAGAAGTGGTGTTGTGGCTCAAGGGGTAGAGTGCTCGCCTTGAGCTGAAGAGCGCAAGGACAGTGCCCAGGCCCAGAGATCAAGCTCTATGACGGACAAAAAACATAAAAAAACATAAAAAATAAAACAACATCACTTATTAATTGTAGCAACAAATAACTGATAATATGAAAGGTGATAACATACTAGCTGGAAAATGTCAACAGAATATTTTGGATTATTGGAAAAGGAGACTAGGAAATGAGTGTATTTAGTAAGAATCCTCTTTTTCATTCACTGGCACTTCCTAATCTTTGTGTACTAATGAATAAAAATGTTTGTCATTACCACAGAAGTTCGTACAATTGATTTCTGTCTAGGGGTGAAAATCAATTAAAATTGTTTTCCTAAAGACAACTCAGAGTGACTAAGCAAGCACTGTGAGTACTCTTTCATAACATGCTGGAAAAGCCAAACTTACATCGAGGTAGGACTAGGGTGCAGCTGCTTGGGAGCTAGGAATGGGGAGGAATTTACTACACTGGAGCACAGAGAAACTTTCTAGGCCAGAGGAGCATTTTTGTGTGTGCGTGCGTGTGTGTGTGTGTGTGTGTGTGTGTGTGTGTGTGTGTGAGTAGAGGAGCATTTTAATGTGTGTGTGTGTGTGTGTGTGTGTGTGTGTGTGTGTCAGTTCTGGGGCTTGAATTCAAGGTTTGGGTTGCTGTCCCTGAGCTCTTTCACTCACAGCTAGCTCTCTACCGCTTTGAGCCAGAGCACCATTTCAGGTTTTCTGAACTTTCCTTCCTGGGCTGGCTTCAAACTGAGGTACTCAGATCTCAGCCCACTGAGTAGCTAGGATTACAGGCGTGAGCCACCAGCACCTTGAAAAATGCAAAATCAGAGACAGAACAAAATTATTGGTTATTAAATATAAGGCAGGGCCCGGAATATTACTCAGTGGTAAAGTGCTTGCTTGGCATGCATGAAGCCCGGGTTTGATTCCACAGCACCACATAAGCAGAAAAGGCTGGAAGTGGTGCTGTGGCTCAAGTGGTAGATTCCTACCCTTGAGCAAAAGCAGCTCAGGGACAGTGCTCAGGCCCTAAGTTCAAGCCCCATGACTGGCAAAAATATAAATAAATATATGTTGATGTTAGGTGAAATGAACCCAAGATAAGTATTCAAATGTTTTTTACTTTCATGTGATTGTTTCTAGCATATTTATAAGATGATTTCTTTGTTGCTTTGTATGTCCCTCCCCCACAGTATAACCCCTGCTTTCACTGTATTTGATGTTGGTATAATTTGTGGAGGGGAAGAGAAAAAACAAATCGTTTTAAATAGGGATACAGGTGGACCCATTGCAACAATGAGATATGCAATTATGTTGAAAAACGAACTTTACTACTTGGGGGGGGTGGAGTGGGGAGGGAAGGGAGGGATATGGGTTGGGGGGGTGGGATATGGGAAGGAATAGGAAGGCGAAACAAAGGAGGAGGCAACAATGCTTGATAAGAAATGTACTCATTATCTTGCCCATGTAATTGTAACCCCTCTGTACAGTATTTTCATAATAAAATTTTTTAATAAAATTAAATTTAAAAATTAAAAATAGAAGCAAGGCGGAGCATTTAAGGCAGAACCTCTTTATAGAGAGAAACTCCAGGTTAATTATTAAAGGGAATTCCAGAGGTAAAGAACCAAAATGAATTAAGGAGTGAAGTAAGTTAAACATCAGGTTACTGAAATGTGGTAACTTACAGCAGAATTCAGGAAAAACCTGGAGACCCAGCAGTTGGTTTGGTCTTAGATTTGGTAAATAGGAAGCTTAGAATATGTTTTTGTAATCTTAATAGTGATGTGCATGTTTATCAGGATTCAGAAAAACTACACTAAAGAAGGGTGAGTTTTGTTTTTGAATTTTCTTATTGTTATTATAAAGGTGATGTACAGAGGGGTTATAGTTACGTAAGTCGGGTAACGAGTTCATTTCTCTTTTGGACAGTGTCACCCAGAAGGGGAGCTTTATAGAATGTAAATTCTAGTGCAATAAACTTGACTTTATAAAACAAGCATGAGAAAGGACGGATTTTGTCCTCCCCTCCCCCCCCAAGGAGAAAATTCATTGTGTGTGCGGGTGTTCATTGAAGCCAGCACACACGACTTACAGTGGAGCCACGGGGAAGCTGGTCGTTAATAACCATTAACAATACCCCCAGAGCAACCCGCATGACCAGGGGCCCAGTCCGCGTCCACGCGCGGGAGGAGGGGCCCTGCGTCCCCCAGGCCTGGTGCTTCTGGGGCTCGGTGGATCCCATCTGCCAGCCGGGGCGGGGCCTCGGTGCTGACCGGAGCTGGCTCCCAAGTCCGGAAGCTGGAGATTCGGAGATCCCGAGACAGTGAGCTCCCCCCAAGCCCCCCCCACCCTCGCCGCCAGCCCCTCCCCCGCCCGCGTGCCCTGCCGAGGGTCTGCGCTTCCTCCCGGCCCTAGTCCGTGCAAGGTTGGGCTGCCTGCCTCTCGGCCGCCTTTCAGTCCCTTTCCCTCTCTCCGCAGTGGCCGACCTTCGCCCTGCAGAGATCCAGAAAGAAGTTCAGGTGAGAGCGCAGCTTCGGAGTGGCCTGGAGCGCCCCCATTCCCCCCCCCCCCGCCCGCGACCTCCCCCCCTCTGGCTCGGAGAGGCCCTGCCAGGCCAGGGGTACCCCTAGGGGAGGGGAAGGGCCAGCCCTGGGCTCCCTGGTATGCGGCTGGGAGCAGAGGCTAGCCAGGCCTGGAGAAGTGGCCCTCACATCTCTTGTGGAATCCTGAGGCCTTTGTCTCCCGCCCCCACCTTGCCCCCTGTCTGCCCTTGGCCTCTGGATCAGAACTACTACGGCAAGGTGCTGAGGACAGCTGCAGATCTCCAGTCAAACGCCTGTGTCACTAAAGCCAGGCCGCTCCTCCAGCACATCCGGGATGCCCTGCAGAACGTACACGAGGAAGTCACCTTGAGGTAGCCTGTCCTACGCCGTCCCCACCAGGCCTCTAGACTACAATGAACCCAAGAGACAGTGATGCAGTGCTGGGCCCAAGAAGCCATCTCACTGGCTTGTCACACAGTCCCCAAAGCTCTTCACTGCTCTGCTTAGCCAGCTTCCACGACGCCCTCCACCCCTTCCCAAAGCATCATATTTGCCCTTGTACACCCTTGGGCCTACTGTCCAAGGTCCACAGTTTAACCTTCCCTATCAACCTGGGCTCACCCTGACCTTTCTCTTTCTGACTGCCTGGGCATTGCCCTCCAGCCAGCGAGCAGTTAGCAATGCAGATGGCCTTCCCATTCCTTTGCACTCTGTAACTCCATCTTGTCTACACCTTCCCTAATCCTGAGCACCTGTGCCCCAAACTGCTCCAACACTTACTCCCCGTGCTCCTCAGTTTGACAAAAACCTGTCGAAAATGTTTTCTGGCCTTGTGTTTTACTTCCCTAATTACAGTAAATGCAAGCAGAGGATAGGGGGGAAAAATGCCCTCAACACTAGAGTTGGGGTCCTGAATTAGATGTTTAACAGCTAATGCCCAAATGTCTTAATTCAACGAGTATTTCAGATGGCTTACTCAAGCCTTGGTACCTGGGCCAGAGTCCAACAACACTATGGTAAAACAGATATGGTCCTAGCCTTCTGGAGCTTTAGTGGAAGGAGCCAAACCCTTCCAATAGAAGTAGGAATGAGTGATGGGAAGATGGAAAGGGAGGAATGGAGACAAATAGGAAGGAGGACTGTGTAAGATTTTAGTATTGTCATCTTCCCTATGGGAGAAGAATGTGAATTCCATTTTTTTTCTCAAATTCTTTATTGTGTTTAAGTGATTACATAATTTCACAAATTTCACAGTATTGTGGGACAGTGAATGCTTAAAGTCACAAACACAGGTCTGGCAAAAAATTAAAAAAGAAATAAAGATATTTTCAACTAAAAAAAGTCACAAGGGCTGGGAAAGTGGCTCAGTGGTAGAGTGCTTGCCTTGCATGCATGAGGCCCTGGGTTTGATTCCTCAGCACCACATAAGCATAAAAAGCCAGAAGTGGCGCTGTGGCTCAAGTGGTAGAGCGCTAGCCTTGACCTGAAGAGCTGAGGGACAGCGCCCAGGCCCAGAGTTCAGACCCCATGACTGGCAAATAAATAAATAAAGTCACAAACACGTTCTAACTTTCATGGGGCAAATTGTCTATCATGGTCTATAAAAGTTATGAGTTCTATGAGCTTTGACAATACAGTTATTTCTTCCACATCAGGTGATATGTACATTTCTTTCCTTTTGCATAGTGTCAGCGGTTCCCTTTTTCCCACTCTTTCCCATTTCTTAGGTATTATGGCTGTGGTCTGGTCATCCCTGAGTGCCTAGAAAACTGTTGGATTTTGGACCTCGGCAGTGGAAGTGGCAGAGATTGCTATGCGCTTAGTCAGCTGGTTGGTGAGAAAGGGCATGTCACTGGAATAGACATGACTGAAGGTCAGGTAAGGCAAAGATTCGGGAGATCCAAAGTGGGAAAATTCTCACATGTGCTCTTGGCAAGAGAAGGTTGTTTCTTTTATGAATTTTCAAGGAAAATCGAAAAAGGCTGCTATTTAGCAACGATCATTGGCATCATTATTGCTTCTTGTCTACAAGCGGAGAGCTTTGATAAACTAGAGGCTCTGCTGGGAGAACATAAAAGCGGAGGTTTGGCCCAATGGCTGAGTAGCACGATGGACTTCCATGTTTTTCTTCCTTCTGCCATCTGTCCTGAATACTTGGCCATTGAGTGTTCAAGGAAAACTCACATAGTAGGAGTTTATGTTCTAGGCAGTAGCTTGTCCTCCGTGTCCCCAGGAAACGTATGTATCTGTTTTGAAAAGATGAGAGTATATTCCACTAGTAATGAGAAAATTTTTGGAAAAGTACATGCACATACCATGTTGGATGTCAAACCTCTATTTTTTTCTTTTAGGTGGAAGTGGCTAAAAAGTATCTCAACTACCACATGGAAAAATTTGGCTTCCAGACATGCAATGTGACTTTCATTCATGGCTGCATTGAGAACTTGGCACAGGCTGGAATCCAGAATGAGAGCTACGATATTGTTATGTATGGCTTGCAGTTATGAGTAAAACTAGGTTTCTTTTGCAAGGCAATCGCTCTACCACTGAGCCACCTTCCCAGCCCAAGCCAGGTTTCTTTTGAAGACACAGATGTTACCAATTTTCACTGACACTCTTTTCCTTTAATTTTTTTATTTTGTGTTTTGTTTGGATTTTTTGTGTGTGTGTATTGAAGGCTGGGATGGGACTCAACTTTGGTACCCAATATTTTCAGTCATTAGCTGGTGCTCTACCAACTGATCCATGCTTCCAACCCTCCTGAATCTCATTGAGTTTTTTTTTTGGTGCCAGTACTGGGGCTTGAACTCAGGACCTGGCCAAGCTTTAGCTTTTTTTTTTTCTTTGTGGTCAATTGTGTTGCTTGAACTCAGGGTCTGAGTGCTGTCCCTGAGCTCTTTTGCTCAAGGCTAGTGCTCTATCACTTGAGCCAGAGCTCTACTTCCAGTCTTTCCTTTATTGGAGATAAGGGTCTATATGGACTTTCTTGCCTGGGCTCACTTTGAACTACAATTCTCAGATCTCAGCCTCCTGAGTAGCTAGGATTACAGGAGTGCACCATGGGTGCCTAGCTCCATGTATACTTTTATGTACTATACTTTTAAACAACTGTCAGTGTGGTGCATATGTTAACACCAGCATAACCACACAAACATAATAAGCTATGCTACACTATTAGTAGGTCCTGTTACCATGACTACATATAATGTTACCAGGCAACCAATAATTTTCAGTTTTATGATAACCTTAGAAAACTATCATGTAAGTGGTTCTTCCTTGGCTAAAGTGTTGTGTGGCTCTTAACTATTAATTTCATGGCAAGTGACAGGATTTTTTTTCTTGTTTTCCTCCAAATTGTTGTAATCATGCCCAAGTTGGACAGTGTTCAGAAAGCTTCCTTTCAGAAGCTTCCTCTGTTTACATGTGACTTCAGAAATGCCATGTGCAGGAACTATCTAGTCTTATTTGTCTTGCTGCCTGGTTAATGTCAGGAGAGAATAAACAAGAATCATGCCTTGTGTATTTCTCTGCTGAGATTTTTACATGCACTGCCTGTCTCCCTTATATTGGGAAGAAGTTGAGTTTGGGGAAGGGAAAGGTGAGGTAAGGAGAAAGGTATAGCTTGGACAAGATGGTAGGAGCCACCATTAGAGACTTAAGGTTATTTAAGTCCTTTCTCATTTGCTCTTTCTTAGATCAAATTGTGTTATTAACCTTGTGCCAGATAAACAGCAAGTTCTTCAGGAGGTGTATAAGGTGCTGAAGGTAAGAAAAGGGAGATAATAAACTTTGAATATTGATGAGGGCTGGTAGCATCTGCTCTGTTCTTTCCTTCTTGTACTGAGAGCTTAGATGATTTTAACTTTCCACCCAAAATAAAGGAAAGCAAAAAAATATATATAAAAATCAGTGAGTGATAGAATGCCTTATTTATGGTTCTTTTCCCTCTCAGGTCACAAAAAAAGTTGGGAGGTCATGGTTGTCATTGAGTATGTTTTGTATGAGTCTTATTGACTGTCCTGCTTGCTGCCATAAATGATCTTAAGACAGTATCTGCAAAACTGCGGGAACCTTAAGATTCAAGATACATAACTATATACTGTCTTCTAGAATATACAGTGTTTCTCACAGCTACTGATTTCTTCTCTGCCAGAATCACAGGTCCTAGGGAAGTTAAAAAAGATGAAACTGTTGGCATTGGTGGCTCACACCTGTAATCCTAGCTACTCAGAAGGCTGAGATATGAGGATCATGGTTCAAAGCCAGCCTGGACAGGCTGGAGAATCATCTCCAGTTAACCACCAGAAAACCAGAAGTGGCACTGTGGCTCAAGTGATAGAACACTAGCCTTGAGCTGAAGAGCTGAGGGACAGGGCTCAGGCCCAGATATCAAGCCCTATAACTGACAATAAATAAATAAATAAAATGTGATTTTATTTATTTTTTTTTCCAGTCCTGGGTGCTTGAACTCGGGGCCTGGGTACTGTCCCTGAGCTTCTTTTACTCAAGGCTAGCACTCTACCACTTGAGCCACAGTGCCACCTCTGGCCTTTTCTGTTTATATGGTACTGAGGAATTGAATCCAGGGCTTCATGCATGCTAGGCAAGCACTCTACCATTAAGCCATATTCCCAAACCAAGATGAAACTTTTATACTAATACCTTTCTAAAAGGAAAACTGGTAGGAACTGTGCTGTTTTCCTGTGTATCACATGAGATGTGTCTCTTTGTTCTGGAAGATGCAGATTCTGAAATTTAGGGGACAGCTGGTGGGGGGGGTGTACTCAGCTCAACAGCACAGCACTTATGTAACATGCTTTAGGTTCAGTTCCTCCACCAAAAATGATTCTGAGCCAGGTGCTGGTGGCTCATGTGTGCAATTCTAGCTACTCAGGAGGCTAAGATCTGACCAGTCTGGGCAGAAAAGTCTTGTGAGATTTTTTTTTTTTTTTTGGTTGGTCATGGGGCCTGAACTCTGGGCCTGGGTGCTGTCCCTCAGCTCTTCAGCTCAAGGCTACTACTTTACCACTTGAGCCACAGCGCCACTTCCGGCTTTTTCTGTTTATGTGGTACTGAGGAATTGAACGCAGGGCTTCATGCATTCTCGGCAAACACTCTACCACTGAGCCACATTCACAGCCCTGGGCCTTATACTCTTGCTTAGCTTTTTGTGCTTAAGGCTGGCCCTTACTAGACCTCCATACTTTTCAAGTTATCCAGATCAAATCTTAAACTTCTGGTGACTTGTTTGTCTTAGATTTTAAGGAAAATATTTTAAAATTCAATGTGTGATAACATTACAAAAGGCTCTACCATTTTTAAAAGGGTAAGTATCTATTAATACTGTTTATATCTTCTATTAGTTATACAGCTAGCTGGGATAGTGCTATGTTAGGATTGGCTAAATAAGTTAGGCAACCTAAGTATGTTTATTCAAGAGAGACTCTTAGAAAATGATTTTATTACCTATTGGGTAGGATACTGAAGATAAAAACAAACAAACAACAAAACTTGTCTCTTGGCTATGGCTTATAAGGAGGGGGTAGCCATCATTTATTCAAAGGATCAATGGGGTTAAAAGCTGCTCAAACACTTGCGTGAACTTTTAAAATTGATCTGTGTCCTCATCTAGTTCCTTGTTATCTGGGGTCAATGTAATCTTTAACCTTGCTTGGACTCACTTTGCTCTTTCAGCATGGTGGAGAGCTGTATTTCAGTGACGTGTATGCTAGCCTTGACTTGCCAGAAGAAATCAAGACACACACAGTTTTATGGGGTAGGTGTTCTTGTGACCCTCATGCTAAGACAGACGGTTGGTTATTTGTGTGGAGAGCTCCATCTTGCTGACCGCCCTATGGCACTCAAAAGCAATAGGATTTTGGATAACTTAAAGAATCTCTTTCAGGCATTGTTTGCCAATCTGTAAAATGTTGACAGTACTGCAGCCTGCTATATAAGACTGTTGGGAGGCCTAAATGGGATGACCAATGTAGAAAGTACCTTGAAAAGTAGGTGTTGAAATGAAGGTAGCTGTTTCTGAGTTGATGATCCTTTCTTCATGTTGTCATTCTTGTTGCTGTCAACTTGCTTATGTTTTTGTATGTGTGCCATTACCAAGGCTTGAACTTGGGGTTTCATACTCTAAGCTTTTCTTGCTCATGGCTGGCACTCTACTACTTGCACCACCCCTCTATTATGGCTTTTTGCTGGTCAATTGGAAATAAGAGCCTTGTGAACTTGTCTGCCAGGGCTGGCTTTGAAACTTTTTTATTTGTTTGCCAGTCCTGGACCTTGAACTCAGGGCCTGGGCTCTGTCCCTGAGCCTCTCTTTGTTCAAAGCTTGGGTTCTACCACTTGAGCTACCATACCACTTCTGGCTTCTTTCTAAGTAGTTTACTGGAGGTAAGAGTCTCAAAAGAGTCTCATGGACTTTGCTGCCTGAGTTGGCTTTTTTTTTTTTTTTTTTGGTCAGTTGTAAGGCTTGAACTCGGCCTGGGTGCTAACCTGAACCTCTTTGTGCTCAAGGCTAATGCTCTACCACTTGAACCACAGAGCCACTTCCAGTTTTTGAGTGATTAACTAGAGATAAGAGTCTCATGGGGACTTTTCTGCTTGGGTTGGCTTTGAACCATGATCCTCAGATCTCAGCCTCCTGAGTATTACAGGTGTGAGCCACCAGCTTCTGCTAGCTTTGAACTTTGATCTTCAAATCTCACCCATGTGTGTGTGTGTGTGTGTGTGTGTGTGTGTGTGTGTGTGTGTGTGTGTGTGTGTGTGTGTGTGTAGGTCTTGAGGCTTGAACTCAGGGCCTGGCCACTGAGTTTTTGTGGCTATAGTGCCATTTCTGGCTTTTTGGTAGTTAATTGGAAATTGATTGGAGTTAATTGGAGTCTCATAGATTTTCCTGGCTGGACTGGCTTTGAATCACAATTCTCAGATCTTAGCCTCCTGAGTAGTTAGGATTAGAGATGCATGCCGCCAGTACCCAGCTAACAGTTTTACCTATGACTTCTAGACTTTGGGAGAATGTTCAGTCAGTTTCAGTTTCTATGATATGTTAGTTTTTATTGTTATTACAAAACGTAATATACAGAGAGTTACCACTTTATGACAGGTGAGGAATACATTTCTTTTTGGATAGTGTCACCCCTTCCTTTGCTCTCTCCCAGTTTTTCTCTCCTGTCCCTATCCACAAGTTGTATAGTTCATTTTTAAGATAGTAGCACTGCTGCATTTGTTCACCCTTTGTCCTTCTATTTCTGTACCCCTCTTACCTTCCCAAAGACAGATAAATGAACAAACAAAACAAAAAGAAAAAAACTTGCTTATTTCCATTTCCTAGAGTTCATTTTTTTTTTTTTTTTTTCAGGTAAGGGGTAGGTTTATTCAGTAGACCTGCTGGGACCAGGCAAGGTTGGCACTCCACGTGGCTGGGAAAGAGAGAGGAAAGAGCTAGAGCAGAGAGAGAGCTAGAAAAGAAGAGCAAGAGCAAGAGCTAGAAAAGAACAGAGTGAGAAAAAGAGCCCTAGAGTTCATTTTGATAAGTACTATTTTATCTTATCAGAGGCCTAGTGCCTTTGTGTTTCTCTCCTAAGAATGTCTTCCTTCGGTCTCACTGCGTGTGAATAAATGCCTATCGACTTGTAAAATGTATCATGTTCTAGGGTATTTTAGATCTAGCTTCTGCATGTGAGAGAAACTATGCACCCTTTGTCTCTCTGAGCTTGGCTTACCTCACTTACAATGATTTGTTGTAGGTCCATCCATTTCCCTGCAAATGGCATAGTATTCTTTTTAATGGCTGCATAAAATTCCATTGTAGATAAATACCACATTTTGGGGATCCACTCATCTCTTATAGGGCATCTGGGCTGTTTCCATAACTTGGCTATTGTGAATAGTGCATCAATGAACATAGACATAAAGACACAAGTGTCTTTATGGTATCCTGACTTGTGATGTTCTAGGTAGATACCCAAGAATGGTATGGCTGGGTTGTAGGTTAGCTTTTGTAGTTTGTATGTTTAGTTTTTGAGGAACCTCCAGACTGCTGTAGTACCTATATTTTTAACTAATACTATGTCCTGGTTAATTGTATTGATTATTATTACTGTAATTCTGTTTTATGTATTGATCAATCGGTGATTTTTTTCTAAAGGTGAATGCCTGGGTGGTGCCTTGTACTGGAAGAACCTTGCCATCCTTGCCCAGAAACTTGGGTTCTGCTCTCCACGTTTGGTCACTGCCAATTTCATTACAATTCAAAACAAGGAACTAGAAAGCATTGTTGGTAAGAACTAACAAGAGGAACAAATATAACTGGAACTTGAATGATTCAGATTTGGTGATTAGTATTTACTGAGTGATTCCCACTGAGGGAGACTTGGAACCACCTGGAAATATCCATCTTGTTTCCCAAATAATGACAACTCCCCTTACACACACATAAGTTTAATAGTTAATGAAAATTCTTAAGTTCTTTCACGAAATAGAGAGAAATGCCTAGAAAGATAATTAATGGAATACAAAGAAGAAACTCATCTTTCCTCTGCTGAGTGAGCCAGTCTTGTTGGAGTGCTGACAATGAGCCATGCATATCTGTTTTTAGGTGACTGTCGTTTTGTTTCTGCCACTTTTCGCCTCTTCAAACTCTCTGAGACAGCACCAGCCAAAAGATGCCAAGTTATTTACAATGGGGGAATCACAGGATATGAAAAAGAACTAATGTTGGATGCAAATTTCATATTCAAGGTAAATAAAAAGATCCATGGGGTTGGGGGTATATGTCAGTGGTAGAGTACTTACATTAGCATGAGTGAGGCCTTCAGTTTGGTCCCCACAAATTCTCTCTCTCTCTCTCTCTCTCTCTCTCACACACACACACACACACACACACACACACACATATGTACACACACAAATTAAAAAACAAAACAAAACAGCAAACTTTTTTAAGACTTCTGACATTGTTTTGTTTCTGGTCTTACTCATGGTTTGGGTATCTCTTTATATTGCTTCTCAGTTTTCTGCAGTTGGTGTGTGTGTTTTTATACATATATATATATTCTAATTATATATATTTTATTTGCTTCCCACTAATAAATTTTGTTTTATTCACACTAGAGAAATAGATCTTGCTTTCCCAAAGCTGGGCACTAGTGGCTCATACCTGTCATCCTAGCTGCTCAGGAAATCTAAGGATCACTATTTGAAGCAGTCTGGGCAGGAAAATCCGACACTCTTTTTTTTTTTTTTTTTAAATTTGTGGCATGCTATTTTTTTTGTACTTTTTTTTTTTTATTGTAAAGATACTATACAGAGGAGTTACAGTTACATGAGCAAGGTAATGAGTCCATTTCCTATCCAGCATTGTCGACACTCTTATCTCCAACTAACCAGCAAAAAACCAGAAGTGGAGCTGAGTGTTAGCCTTGAGCAAAAAAGCTAAGGTGGCCAAGTGCTGGTGGCACACGCCTACAATCCTGGCTACTCAGGAGGCTGAGATCTGAGGATCCCGGTTCAAAGCCAGCCAGGGCAGGAAAGTCTGTGAAACTTTTATCTCCAATTAACCACCAGAAAACCAGAAGTGGCGCTGTGGCTCAAGTGCTAGAGCATTCTCCTTGAGCTGAAGAGCTGAGGCCCAGAGTTCAAGCCCCATGACAAAAAAAAAAATTAAAAAGCTAAGGGGCAACACCTACTTAGGTCCTGAGTTCAAGCCCCATATGAACACACATGCACACAAAAACCCTGCTTGCCCAAAAATTCAAAGTAAAAAGACAAAACAATTAGTTAAAAAAAAAAAATGATGTAGGGCCAGGCACTTGTGGCTCATGCCTGTAATCCTAGCTACTCAGGAGGCTGAGATCTGAGGATCTCGGTTCAAAGCCAGCCTAGGCAGGTAAGTCCATAAGACTCTTATCTTCAATAAACCACTAGAAAACCGAAAGTGGTGCTGTGGCTCAAGTGGTAGAGTACTTGCTTTGAGCTGAAGAGCGCAGGGACAGCGCCCAAGCCCAGAGTTAAAGCCCCACGACTGACAAAAAAAAAAAATATGTAGGCATTAATACATCCTTTTTATTTATTTTATTATTATTTTTGTTGTTGGTCGTGTGGCTTGAACTCTGAGTCTGGGCTCTGTTCCTGAGCTTCTTTTGCTCAAGGCTAGCACTCTACCACTTGAGCCACAATGCCACTTCTGGCTTTTTCAGAGTAGTTCACTGGAGATAAGAGTCTCAAGGGCTTTCCTGCCTGGCTGGCTTCAAACCACAATCCCCAGATCTCAGCCTCCTGAGTAGCTAAGATTACAGGAGAGAGCCACCAGCAGCCAGCTTATTTTAAATCTTTTAAAGGTTGAAAGGGGTTTCAAGAATATAATTTCTGGTGGGAAAATAGGATTAGCACAAACACTTTCCTGGCAAGCCACTGTAAATGCTTCAGCTGTATTTGATGTACAGAGGTAGGGATTAGCTTCAGAGCATCTTGCTTCCTCACAGGGAGGCCAGAGGAACAATAGTTCATATTATCATGACATCCATTCAGTGATCTAGGCTTTTTCCTTCAGCAAGGACTTTGTCAGATGGATGTTGTGTTTGACCTCCAAATATGACTGACAGAAACAACTGATAAAAACAACCTTAGGATTGCTCTGGCATCTTAACATCTTTGCCAGGTTCTGGGCCACATAACCTGGACCCTGCAAGGCAGGCTTCAAGGACCTCTGGGTTACTTAGATTTCAGCATACCCAGGCATTCCTGCCAAGCCAGGGATGTCCCTCCCATTCCAGGCATTTCCTCAAGAAAATTACCAAGTAATTTCCCAGGAAAGTGACCTAGAAAAGGGCCATGCTGAATTCCTAATTGTGTTCTGGCTCCTTCTTCCCTCTGGGCTCTCTTATGTTTTTTTTGTTTTTTTGTCGGTTGTGGGGCTTGAAGTCTGGGCTTGAATGCTGTCCCTGTGCTCCTCAGCTCAAGGCTAGCGCTGGAGCGACAGCACCACTTCCCATTTTTTAGTGGAGATAAGAGTTTCATGGACTTTCCTACCTGGGCTGGCTTTGAGTCAGGATCCTCAGATCTCAGCCTCCAGAGTAGCTAGGATTACAGGCATGAACTACCGGATCTCTTGTGATTTTGTCCAGTCTTTGCTCCTTCCTCCCTCCCTTTCCTGCCCCCTCCCCTCCTTTCCTCCCTTCCCTCCCTTCCCTCCTTCCCTCCTTCCCTCCTTCCCTCCTTCCCTCCTTCCCTCCTTCCCTTCTTCCTTCCTTCCTTCCTTCCTTCCTACCTTCCTTTCTTCCTTCCTTCTTCCCTCCCTCCCTTCCTCTTTTCCTCTCTTCCTCCCTTCCTCGCTTCCCTCCCTTCCTTCTTCCCTCCCTCCTTTGCTCTCTCCCTCCCTCCCTCCCTCCCTTCCTCCTTCTCTGTCTCTGTCTCTCTGTCTCTCTCTCTTGGGCTGATCCTGAGGCTTGAACTCAGGGCCATAGTCCTGTCCCTGAGCTTTTCTGCTCAAGGCTAATGCTCTATTACTTGAGCCACAGTTCCACTTCTGTTTTTTTTTTGGTATTTAATTGGAGAGAAGAGTCCCACCGCCTGACGCTAGTGGTTCACGCCTGTAATCCTAGCTACTCAGGAGGCTGAGATCTGAGGATCCCAGTTCAAAGCCAGCCTGGGCAGGAAAGCCCGTGAAACTCTTATCTCCAATAAACCACCAGAAAACCAGAAGTGGCACTGTAGCTCAAGTGGTAGAGTGCTCCTCTTGAGCTGAAGAGCTGAGGGACAGCACTCAGGCCCAGACCGACAAAAAAAAAAAACAGAGTCCCACCCATTTTCCTGAGTAAGCTGACTTTGAACCACAATCCTTAGATCTCAGCCTCCTGCACAGTGAGGATTATAGACATGAGCCACCAGCGCCTGGCCTTTGCTTCTCTACTGATCTCTTGTTCGTCACGAATTCCCATGTCCTTCCTCTGATGTTCAGTACTTCTCTGGGTCCTTAGTTGAACTTTCAGCTCTTCCTCAAGTTTACAAGCAAGGCCAAGGTCACCAGTTGCTTCTTCCCCATTAGCCTAGAACTTTTGTCTGCTTTCCCTTGTCACGCAAGGCTGAACAAGTTGGGATTTTCTTTTTCTTTTTTTGTCAGTCATGGGGCCTTGGCCTGGGCACCGTCCCTCAGCTCTTCAGCTCAAGGCTAGCGCTCTACCACTTGAGCTACAGCACCACTTCCAGCCTTTTCTGTTTATGTGGTGCTGAGGAATCGAACCCAGGGCCTCATGTATGCGAGGCAAGCGCTCTACCACTGAGCCACCTTCCCAGCCCCCGCATTGGGATTTTCTTTAGTGGCTCTGTCACTCTCTCCAATGGCAGCGTTTATCTTCTGTAATTTGATGAAGACATTGGCTCTCTGTATGCAGAATGGCAACTTGAGAGTTCAGCATCTGGGAATGAGTCAGGGGCTTTCTGTAGTTCACCATCTAGGTCTTCCAGGGCAATGTCTTTCTTTTTATTTGTTTTATCCATCACCTCCTTAGATCTCTCCATGTTCACCTGCCTTTTCTTGAGGGACATCAATGTCTGCTTCAGGTCTACCTACCTTCATTACCAATTCCAGGTGGCTTCATTGTTCAATGACTCAGCTGTCCTTCTGGTTTCCTTTGTCTTCTGATTTTTTTCTCCCTTGATGCTTCTGTCTGATTTAGCTTTCTGTGTGTATCAAGAAGTGGGCCTCAGGGCTGGGAAGGTGGCTCAGTGGTAGAACACTTGCCTTGCATGCCTGAGGCCCTGGGTTCGATTCCTTAGCACCACATAAGCAAAATGAAAAAAGCCGGAAGTGGCGCTGTGGCTCAAGTGGTAGAGCGCTAGCCTTGAGCTGAAGAGCTGAGGGACAGTGCCCAGGCCCAGAGTTCAGGCCCCATGACTGGACCCAAAAAAAAAAAAAGAAGAAGTGGGCCTCTCTTGCCCATTCTTCTATGCAGGACTCCTGCATCCTACTTACATTTTCATGAAGGCCTTAATGCATAGTAATTTTGCAGAAGTCCGTGGTTAGGAGGTGTGGGAGGCAGCTGAGGGGGCTGTGACTCCATCCCAGGCCTGGTTACTGGCTCAGCTTGATTACTGGTTCCTGTGTATTTATTTATAGAAAAGTGGGAAAGTATGTTCCTATTATTTATTCTAAAAATGTTTTTAATTGCAGAAGAAAAAATAGTCCAATGAGTACCCATATGTGCACCATTGATTTTAGCAATTGAGAACAGCTGGCCATAGTTGCTTCATCTGTATATATGCATACATGGTCCCAGGTTGCATAACAGTTTCAGTCAAGGACAGACTATGTATAGGCAATTCCATAAGATTATAGTGGCGCTAGAAACTTCCTGTCACCTACAGATGCTGTAACCATCATACTTCAGAGTAAAACCTATCACTCATGCTCATGGTAATGTTGGCATAAACAAAGCTACTGTGCAGAAGCATAACAGATATAAGTATGTACAGTTAAATTAGTTGACCATGATAATAAATGACTATGTTACCTGTTTATGTATTTACTATACTATACATTTTTTAGATGGTCTTGCTTCATAGCCTAGGCTAGCTTCAAATTTACAAACTTCCTGCTGCAGTCTTGCAAGAACTGGGATTACAGGTATGCACCACAATGCCCAGCAACTATACTATACTTTTTTTTTTTGGTCTGGTCGTGGGGCCTGAACTCTGGGCCTGAGCGCTGTCCCTCAGCTCTTCAGCTCAAGGCTAGCACTCTACCACTTGAGCCACAGCGCCACTTCCGGCTTTTTTCTTTTTGCTTATGTGGGGCTGAGGAATCGAACCCAGGGCCTCGAGCATGCAAGGCAAGCGCTCTACCACTGAGCCACCTTCCCAGCCCCAAATATACTTTTTTTTTTTTTTTTGTCAGTCGTGGGGCTTGAACTCTGGACCTGGGCTCTGTCCCTCAGCTCTTCAGCTCAAGGCAAGCACTCTACCACTTGAGCCACAGTGCCACTTCTGATTTTCTGGTGATTAAATGGAGAGAAGAGTCTCACGGACTTCCCTGCCTGAGCTGGCTTTGAACGGTGATCCTCAGATCTCAGCCTCCTGAGTAGCTAGGATTACAGGCATGAGCCACTGGTGCCAGGCTTTGTGAGATTCTGATCAATTAACCACCAGAAAACTGGAAGTGGCACTGTTGCTCAAGTGGTAGAGTGCTCCTCTTGAGCTGAAAAGCTGAGAAACTGTCCATGCCCAGAGTTCAAGCCCCCTGACCAAAAAAAAAAGTGGTACCTCTATATAGTGGAATTGTACCTTTCTTTAGAAAGACTAAGAGAATGTCATTTGTTGTAGGGAAATGGGTGAACCTAGAACAAATCATGTTAAGTGAGGTCAGCCAGTCTCAGAGAGATAAAAACTACATTTTTTCTCTCATAAGCGGAAGCTAGATCTAAAATATAACTGGATATGATAATTTATACAAGATTCTAGACATTCAGACACAGTCAACTAAAGGAGGATACTCTTAGGGGAAGAATCCAAAGGTCTAACTCCTCTGAATATTAAAAATGCTATTTATCAAAACAAATTCCAGGCTGGGTATGGATGGCTCACACCTGTAATCCCAGCTATTTAGGAGACTTAGAAGATCTGAGGAATATGGTTCAAAGACACCCTGGGCAGAAAAGTCCTGAGATACTCTTATCTCTAATTAACTACTCAAAAACTGGAATTGGAGCTGTGGCTCAACATGGTAGAGCCTTGAGTAAAAAAGCTCAGGGACAGCCCCCAGACCCTGACTTCAAGCCTTAGACCACCACTACCAACAAAAATTAAATTCCAGGAATGGAAACTTTTTTGTTATTGTTGTTGCCTTTGAGTTTTTGTGGTTTTTTTTTTTTTTTTTTTTGTCTTTTTATAGGGGGCACGGAAATGGATGGAAGAAGGGTGAACAAATACAGTCATGGTATTCAATATACACTATGTAAAAATGAACTATGCAACTTGTGGGCAGGGATGGGAGAGGGAAACTGGGGGAAAGCAAAGGAAGGAGTGACATTGTCCAGAAAGAATTGCACTCATTACCTGTCTTATAGAATGGTAACGGCTCTGTGCCACACCTTAATAATAACAATAAAATTACATTAAAACAACAACAACAAAAGAGAATACCATGTCAGAACGTATGGTAGTCTGTCAACCCTAAAATTCCACTTGCTGGTAAAATGTTTAGATATTTTCCTTATAATATGTGCACTCTCTGCCTCTGTCTCTCTCTGTCACTCTCATTGGTCACGGGCTTGACCTTGGGGCCTGAGCACTGTTCCCGAGCTCTCTTGCTCAAGCCTAGCACTCTTACCACTTTGAGCCACAGCTCTACTTCCGGTTTTGAGGGGTTAATTGAAGATAATAGTCTCATGGACTTTCCTGCCCAGACTAGGTTTGAACCGTGATCCTCAGATTTCAGCCTCCTGTGTAGCTAGGATTACAGGTGTGAGCCATGAGCAGCTGTCTCTATCTTTGTGTCGATCTCTGTCTGTCTGTCTCTCTCTGTCTCTGTCTTTCATACTAGGATTTGAGCTTGTAGTTGCTTGGCAGTTATTCTACGACTTAACTCACACACTGAAGCCCTTTTCTGATTTATTTAGATTTTGGATTAGGATATGGTCAGGATCTTGAGCTATTTGCCTGGAGCCAGCCTTAGATCTTGATCCTATGGCTCCTGCCTCTAGGAGTAGCAGAGATTAAGTGACTGCTGAAAATATGTGTTTTATACTGCTCTTTAGAAAGGTGAAATTGTTGAAGTGGATGAAGAGACAGTGGCTATCTTGAAGAATTCACGCTTTGCTCAAGATTTTGTTTTCAGACCAATTGAAGCGAAGCTGGAACCTGGAAGTTATTCTACATTAGAATCAAAGGTTTGTTTGACTTTCTGTTCTTTACCTCATACTAGAACTATTGAAAGAAATCACGTTACTAAGAAGCAAATCAATATTCTTTGCAGTTGGGCCACCACAACCTTATTTCTACAAATATTTCTAGAATAATTGTATCTATAAAGGATTTAAATTTATTTCAGAACTCCAGCTTCAATCCTGACAACAAATCAACTACTTTTGAATCTTTGGAATATCTATGAACTAACTTCAGGGTACCCACAATTCCCTTGAAATTATATGTATGACCAGGCAATTGTGGCTCACATCTATAATCCTAGTTTCTCAGGAGGCAGAGATCTGAGGATTGTGGTTTGAAGCCAGTTTGAGCAGGAAAGTCTGTGAAACTCCTATTTCCAGTTAACCACCAAAAAACCCATAAGTTGAACTGTGGTTCAAGTGGTAGAACACTAGCCTTGAACAAAAAAAGCTCAGGGAGCCAGGCACTGGTGGCTCACGCCTGTAATCCTAGCTACTCAGGATGCTGAGATCTGAGGATCTCAGTTCAAAGCCAGCCTGGGCAGGAAAGTCTGTGAAACTCTTATCTCCAATAAACCACTGAATACTGGAAGTGGCGCTGTAGCTCAAATGGTATAGCGCTAGCCTTGAGCTGAAGAGCTGAGGGATAGTGCTCAGGCCCAGAGTTCAAGCCCCATGACTGACAAAAAAAAAAAATCCCAGGGACTCCGGGTGCTAGTGGCTTGTGCCTGTAATCCTAGGTATTTAGGAGGCTCAGTTCAAAGCCAACCCAGGAAGGAGTCTCTTTTTTTTTTTTTGGGTCCGGTCGTGGGGCCTGAACTCTAGGCCTGGGTGCTGTCCCTCAGCTCTTCAGCTCAAGGCTAGTACTCTACCTCTTGAGCCACAGCGCCACTTCCGGCTTTTTTTCTTTTTGCTTATGTGGTGCTGAGGAATCAAACCCAGGGCCTCATGCATGCAAGGCAAGCGCTCTACCACTGAGCCACCTTCCCAGCCCCGAGTCTCTTAATCTCCAATAAAGTACCAGAAAACCTGAAGTGGTGCTGTGGCTCAAGTGGTAGAGTACTAGCCTTGAGCTAAAGAGCTCAGGGACAGTGCCCAGACCCAGAGTTCAAGCCCCATGACTGACAAAAACAAAAACAAAACAAAACAAAAAACAACCAGCTCAGGAGCAGCACCCAAGCCTTGAGCACAAAAAAGTTGTCTGTACTTGTATTTTCTTGTCCAAGTATTTGCTTGATCAATTGAGATGATCATGAAATTTTTGTTGTTGGTCCTGTTTATGTGATATATAACATTTATTGATTTACTAAGTCAATAACCATCCATGCATCACTAGATTGAAATCAACTTGATCCATGTCATATCTTTTTATTGTATTGTTGAATTCAGTTTGCAAGAATTTAATTGAGGGGGCTGGGAATCTAGCTTAGTGGTAGTGCTTGCCTAGCATGCATGAAGCCCTGGGTTTGATCCTCAGTACCACATAAACAGAAAAGGCTGGAAGTGGTGCTATGGCTCAAGTGGTAAAGTGCTGGCCTTGAGCAAAAGCAGCTCAGGGACAATGCCCCAGCCTGGGTTCAAGCCCCAGGACTGACAAAAAAAAGAAAAAAGAAAAAAAAAGAATTTAATTGAGAAGTTTTACATCAATGTTCATCAAAGAGAATATGTCTCTTTGGTTTTGGAATGGGAATATATTTAATTCATAGAGTGAATTTGGTAGCATTCCTTCCCTTTCTATTTTGTGGGAGAGTTTAAGAAGCATTGCTGTCAATTCCTCTTCGAAGTTCTGATAGAATTTGGCTGTGACTCCTTCCCATTTTCAACTTATACTGTTTCATTAGTTAGGCTTTTGATTATTTTTATTTGAACTATTGAGCTCTTCATGGCCATGATTTTAATTTGATTTTTTTTTTAAGATTTCTATGTCTTGCCGGGCGCTGGTGGCTCACACCTGTAATCCTGGCTGCTCAGTAGGCTGAGATCTGAGGATCCCGGTTCAAAGCCAGCCGGGGCAGGAAACTCTGTGAGACTCTTATCTCCAATAAGCTACCAGAAAACCGGAAGTGGTGCTGTGGCTCAATTGGTAGAGCGCTAGCCTTGAGCTGAAGAGGTAAAGGACCGTGCCCAGGCCCAGAGTGGAAGCCCCACGACCAACAAAATAAATAAATAAATAAATCACAATAGTCAAATCACAATAGCAACAAGGACAGACATATAAAACCCATGAATTTTCTTATACATATGTAGCTATGTAGATAGATACCTCTATGCCTTTTTAGGAGGTATAAGGGGCTGTGGAAATCACATTCTTTAGATCTGGGTGTAAGGGCTCTGTCTTGAGTGTGTGACTCTGTCTTCCTTAGAAGTCAGCAGATAGAACCAGGGGACAGTGAGTAATTCACAGACTTCTCTTTCAAAGGTTCAGGCTGCGCTAGCCTCCAGCTATGCAGTTCCCTCCTAGCCAATGAGGATAGAAACTACCACATAGCTGCCTTCAGGGTCCCAACTATCTGTTCGTGGTACCTTTGCTCTATGACCTGGCAAGGGCTCTCCTGCTTCTTCACTGCCAGATGGCTGAGGTGGCTGCCTTTCTGGCATCTCATAGTGGCTTCTGCTGGATGTTATGCATCAGCACTGCAATTATCCAAAGGTAAAAACAAGGGTCATAAGATCCATACCTCTGCTATGTGCTTCAGCAGGAAATCTTATGCCTCTGTTACCTATGTACAGCTTAGCTTCCCATGCCTCTGGGGTCTAAGTAGACAATGTTGTTTCCAGCCATTTGAGATTCTCTTCAGGGTCCTAGCCAACATTTTCCTTCTCTTGTGACTGACTTCTGTAAGAATTCCATGGCAAAGTGTCCCTGCATCATTGAGATATCATTGCTCCTTTCAAAAGCAAGGCGCGGGGTGAGGGGGGTGGTGCTCAGTCTCATGAGGGTGACTTTGTCATTCTTTGGGATATGGGGAGCCAAAGAATGACCTTCACCAAGGTCAGGCTCACACTGGGTCGTCAATCCCCACGGTGGGCTTAGGGTTTGTAGGTTGTATGGGTCTTTTCCATTGCTAGAGTTCGGGGTGTTGTGGGCATGACCATGCAATTTTAACTGTGTTTTTTCTTCTTCAGTTTCCTCTTGGGTGCCAGCTCATGACTTCTCCTATTGGGCAGGTTTCTAGGCAGTTTTTTTTTTTTTTTTTTTTGCCTCTTTGTCATTACCTCTTTTATGGATTCTACATTGCCTTTTTTTTCTGTCTTTCTTCAGAATCTAGTCTGTTCTTGGAGTGGATATGATAGACATTTCTAGTCGGCCATCCTGCCTGGCCTCCTCCTTTTCACATTTAAAAAATTGTTCTATTTTATTTTTATTTTTTATTTTTTCCAGTCCTCGGCTTGAACTCAGGGTCTGGGCACTGTCCCTGAGCTGCTTTTGCTCAAGGTCAGCACTCTGCCACTTCAGCCACAGTGCCAAGTCTGGCTTTTTCTGTTTATGTGGTACTAAGGAATCATACCCAGGGCTTCATGCATGCTAGGCAAGCACTCTACCACTAAGCCACATTCCCAGCCCTCACATTTAAACTTTTTTTTTTTGGTCAGTCGTGGGGTTTGAACTCTGGACCTGAGTGCTGTCCCTCAGCTCTTAGCTCAAGGCAAGCACTCTACCACTTGAGCCACAACACCACTTCTAGTTTTCTGAGTGGTTTATTGGAAATAAGAGTCTTATAGACTTTTCCTGCCCAGGCTGGCTTTGAACTGGGATCCTCAGATCTCAGTCTCCTGAGTAGCTAGTGAGTCACTGGTGCCCAGCTACATTTAAAAAATTTAACTACACTTTGGAACTTAGTGCAAGCCCCAGTACTGGCACACCACATACACATAAATGTGTAAAATATATAGAAGGCAGGTGCTGGCGGCTCACACCTGTCATCCTAGCTACTCAAGAGACTGAGATCTGAGGCTTGAAGTTCAAAGCCAGCCTAGGCAGGAAAGTCTGTGAAACTCTTATCTCCAATTAATTATCAAAAAGCTACTAGCGGATATGTGGTTCAAGTGATGGAGTGCTTGAGAAAAACACAAAACAATAACAATAACAAAAACCTCAAGGAAGCTGGGCACTGGTGGCTCACGCCCATAATCCTAGCTACCTCAGGAGGCTGAGATCTGAGGATCACTGTTCAAAGCCAGCCCGGGCAGGAAAGTCCTTGAGACTCTTCTTTTATTTTTTTTTTATTTTTGCTTATGTGGTGCTGGGGAATTGAACCCAGGGCCTCATGCATGCAAAGCAAGTGCTCTACCACTGAGCCACCTTCCCAGCCCCTCCTTGAGACTCTTATCTCCAATAAACTACTCACAAAACTGGAAGTGGTGCTGTGGCTCAAGTGGTAGAGCACAAGCCTTGAGCTGAAGAGCTGAGGGACAAAGCCCAGGCCGAGTTTAAGCCCTATGACCAACAAAAAGCAAAAACAAAAAACTCAAGGACAGCATTCAGGTCCTAAGTTCAAGTCCCAGGACTGGCACGCGCGCGCGCGCACACACACACACACACACACACACACACACACAAAGAGTAAAGTATATAGAAACTTGTTCTGGAACAACCCAGCCCTAGTTTGTGAGGACTCACACTGATGAGGAGGAGGCAGACAGATGGAGGTTTGCAGGAGGTACAGTTTATTGGGAGATGTACTAATGACTTAATCCTAGCTGAAATGGATCCATTTCCCTTTTGGCTGTGTCATCTACTGCGCAGGAGTCTTGGGGTATGCTTCCTATTAGAGGGGCTGTGGTGAAGTGGGCATCCTTTAGAGATAGGACTACCTGATTGTCACCAGCGAGCTCTCTATTCATGGCTCTGCCTGTGGTAGGGCGTTCAACAGAAACTTCTGTCTAAAGCGGTATGTCTAGTTTCAGCTCCCTTCCAGATCTGAGACTGCCAAACAGAGGTGCTCTTATTCTTGTTTTTGCCAGAGAGCCCACCTCATGCCATCTTCTGCACATCTAACTGC